ACATGGTACAAATCTTCTACATTGCCTTATTACCTTGGTTCTTGAACCATTTGCCTACCTGGACATGGTACATATCTTCTGCATGGTCTTGTTTCGTATCTTTCTCCTATACACTTCTTGCCGCCATTAGAAGGAGGGGGATTTGTACAGGTTCGTACACGAAACTGAATTCCTCGAAGACCACACGTCTTGCTACACGGAGAGAACTGGGACCAACTACTGAATCCACCATCAACTAAAAATAGCAACAAAGAAGCAAGCTAGTAAGCCGCTTTCTTACGTTAAGGTTCAATGTGCTCAATCCTCTTTGAATCAATCTTTTTAGCTTGAGCGTAATGGTTTGCCATTCCAGATCTTGATTCATTCTATTGAAAATTAGATTCTTTGTTCGAGTCGTACCCATATTCATGTGTATAATCATGCTCAACCGTTAAACAAAGAAATGATACTCTAGAGAATGACACGTGGTCTGAAATTGGAAAACGTTACATTCAAGTTAAACAGGTTTTCTTATTCAAAAGTTTAAACACCTTTGGTAGTCGCATGGCATTAATTAGTTGTAGAAAAGGATCTGCTATTATAGTGCCTGTCGTGCCAAAATGGAATAAGGAAAATTGAGAATTCATGGACTCAAGACCTTTTTCGCATGATCTAAGAGTCAGTATTTACTCACTTGGACAAGGTGTTATATTACACCGTCTGACTTGTACAGATGGTCCAAAAGCAATACATGGTTTACCCAGAATGCCAGGCGTTGGGTTGTTGCAAAGGCGTGTGCGCACTTGCGCGCCTCGACCACATGACCTGTCACATTTTCCCCATGACGACCAGTTACTATAATGACCGTCAACTTCACACAAAAAAGGAAATAGAAAAAAGAAGTAAAAAGATAGCAATAACGAAGCATTCCACATTAGTGAGCTTATATCGTTAGATCAACCAACGTGATTCATTGTCATAGACCCCTTGCAGCACGTCGGAATGCAGCTCAATTTGGAGGACATAACAATAGATTTCCAATTCTCATGAGATTCAAATTCTTTTGTTTTTTCCTCCAAATTGAGCTGCTTTGACGTCACATGCAAGGGGTCTCTTCATATCTCAAAGGATCTTGAGTCATATGGTTGCACACACACTCTATTGTTTTATTGTTGTCGTTTCACTATTCGTTTGTTATATTTTTTTTTTGTTCGTGTATACCTGCATGCAAGATTCTCGAGTACCCATGCAGTAGAAGGGGTTTTTCGTGCAGTGCTAGATGTATCACGTGACGTGCCTGACCTAAACCATCAACATGCAGTTAACATACATCCCACTACCAAAAAACATTTTCTTACCAAATACCTACTAAAGACGCCAGGCAACATTTATTTAGCTTGGCYTATTGTTAATTCACTTCAAACAGTTTCTTTCAAAGATTTATTATTAATTAATAAACATTAATTAGTAATAACATTTTAATTAAAGTTGTACCTTTGTCCTGGACTGGCAAAGATTTGTGCAGAATAGATGCCTTGGATTTTGCTTGGACGTCTGTTTTGGCATGAGAAATAAGTTGTCCGAGACCTGGCAACCCAGAAAAGTTTAATGTCTGYTAGATCTTTGGGTTAGATTTTTCATCAATATGTTTGTTATCTTCCCTTATCCCATCTTTCCTTCCTTCCTTCCTTCCTTCCTTCCTTCTTTCCCTCCCTCCTTCCTTCCTTCCTTCCTTCCTTCCTCTCTCTCTTCTTTCCTTCCTTCTTTCCTTTACCCTTTTTCTTTCCTTTATGTGAAATTTTTCCTCTTTATTTTTCCTTGTCTTTTCTATATATGGCTTACCAAGCTTTAACTCCGGAAGTTTATTTTGTATTTTCTTCCCTTCTTTGATCGTAAAATCCCGTACCAGATCTCTCAGGATTTTACGCACCAACGCTTTTCTTGCTGAAACACGAGTGGTTCCTAGGAAAAAAGGAATATTATTATGCGCATRCGTTGACGTTTCCTTTGACTTCTTTTGCGCATATTTCACGAGTAATTATTTTAAGAGCGAAAAACATCATAAATATTATTATTTAGTTTATTCGGAAAAGAGCAATCTCACAACTATCAATAYTCTTATCAATATTATTTGTTTCTTTTTCAGTGTAAAGTTAATAAATAATTTTGTGATATATTTTTTGTAACCATGAAATTGTTGAAGAATTTCTAATAAAAMTATTCATTACTTATTATTTTTAAGATATGACAAACAGATCTACCTGGACAGGCTTTCACAAAACAGAATCCATGTTGTATTGAAGGTCCACTACARACTTTCCCGCCAAGAAGAATCTGAGGGTTCTGGCACACGCGACTACGAGCTCTGACGCCATAACCGCATGTCTCTGAGCATGTGCTCCAAGGACCCCACGGAGAGAAGTACTGACTGACAACTGGTGTGGACGCAAGACTGTCACGTGTGCGAGATTTKGCGACTGCAAAATATAAAGGTAATATGTAACATAACTCTTTTAAAGGTTTGTGATTGGATCACTCCAGGACCAATCATCATACAGAATGAATTAGTTCAGGAAGTCGTTTTTGAGACGCTAAAAATGGCAAGAATGGGAAAACACTACATTTGAATCTGAATTTAAGAAAGTTTTTCAAATTGTGATGAATTTGATTTTATTGTTAACAGAAAATCTATAATCAATTTTGAAAAAAAACAAAGCTGGCAAACAAAACGAGAAATGAAGTATTTCGGATTCCAAAGTGGCGTGAACGAGGCCATCATTGGTGTCAGTTCACGCCCCATCAATGATTTATCGTTTGTCGGTGCAAAAGAAAAAAAACTGCAGTTTACCTTCAATCTAATACAACAAATGAAAACGTAAAGCACTAAAAACTTTACCCTATCTATCTCGGTACATATAAAGATAGCTAATATAATCTGATAGTTATTAATGTTTCATAGCTATATYAATATTAAAATCTAAATGATTTGACCTGTGACTGACATCGCTCTGATGAATCTTGACACCTTAGATCAGAGTGGSGCAGAAACAGTAAGCTGAACAAAAATGTAGTGCCAAAACATTACTTATGTAAGGGGCAGTTAGAACTGTTCTAGAAACTTGAAAGGCAACGAAAATAAAACATCTAAAACATCCTTATTAACTCCTTCAAATTCTGCTCAACATTTCCTTTAAACCTCTATCTCAGATTTTTTTAAATTATCGCTTGTGCCAAATCCGCGCGCACTGCCCTTCCCCCTGATATAAAATGTGCGACTTGTTCTTAGAAACTAAATGCTTCGCAGTACTTTTTTACCTCCGGAAATTTTTTAGTGTTTATTCAGGAAACAAAGGAACTTATATTATCCATCCGATATTAATTCATCAGATATTTCAAAAAAGTCTTGGATATTCACTATATGATTTGTGATATAAAGCATTTGCATGTCTTAAATAGAATGCATCAACTTACACGTCCGTCGTGTTTTATTGAAGCTTTCTCGATGAGAAAGAATTCCAGAAATCGACATGTTTATCCAGGTAATCTCAAAAAGGGTAATCCGAATAACGAGCAAAAGTTTGATAGAACCTAGAATTTCTTTAAAATTTGGTTCATTCCTATCAYTTTTTTCATTCCACAAAAATACATTGTCACCACTCCATCGAGATTGTAAAATTTTAATATCATTTAATTAATTTTAAAGAGTTTGAATCAATTAACAATCGAAAACGAAGGAATATCAAAAAGGAAAGAAACAGTTTTTAAGGTAATCATTTTTATTTCATATTTATCACTCTTTCTCGACAAATCTTTACAAATTTGTTAATATTCCTAATTTTTTCCATTTCCTAGATAGGATGTGTCAAACATCGGAGGGTTAACAAGCTTATCGGCGAACAATCGAGGAGTGGTGACATAATCCGAAAGTTTTACGACAGCATCCGAACTTTWACGATAGTTTTCCGAATACTTATCGATGAAATTTGGACTCTTACAATAGAGCCCGGATTTTTCCGGATTTTTATGATATTTTACGAACTATGGGGCTTATTCACGCGGCAGCCATGTTGGATTGAACAATAGATTCCACCACGCGTAGCCTCAAATTCAAGCGCTTGAGAATTAATTGATGCTGGAGAAGCAAAAATTTTATTCTTGTCTCAAGAGAATAAACATGGCCGCCGTGTGATATAGGCCCATTTTGAAAAATACAACTTGCAAGCCGTATAAATTTGTTAAAACCCTCGCTTTAATTTTTGTCTCATCTACTTGACCAATACTAACAAATATGATGATTTGTTAATTGTATGATAATTTGATCCTGAGAAATTTTTTTATTTGACGGCCATGTTGGATGGCATGCACACGTGGTAGCCATATTGGAGGATTAAACTAGAATTTTGACAAGGTAACCTTAGAATAATATTTTTAGGATGAATTAGTAAATATATAATAAATATTTGTATTAAACAAATAAATAATAGCAGTCGTTAAAAATCCTTTTTTTGACGAAGATTACCAAAATATCTTACTAATTCATCCAACATGGCGGMTGTYACGTCAAAATTCAAAAYGTTCCCTTAGGATTTTTGWTTCTCGATTTTGGATTTTTTTCGGTGCCTTCTGTGCAATTTTTTCAAAAAACTTCKCAATTTCCCATGTTTTCTTGCATTTTGAATTCTTTGCCTGGCTACAATTAGATTGCCATCAGATGCCTTTAGCGCGTCCTCTAGAACCTTAGCAAAATCCACGCTYACCACCCGTGACAGTTCTCTCTTACCTCCAGGCACGTACGTAGGACTAGATGAATAAACTCCCATATTATTGGCAGCACTTGGAGCAGGAGCAGCCGCAGGGTAGTACCCTTGGGGCATCTGGTTACTACTGTAGTAAGTCGATCCAAATTTCATTGCCGGGAGATACTCAGTAAAATGGTAGGTCCCTGGTTTGAGGAATTGGTAGGGTGCTGGGTACGGTGCWGGATATGGTGCCGGATATGACGTCATCTGTGCCGCAKTGGGTTGCTGGTAAGGYTGCTGGTTGGTGATTGGGTCATTTYGTTGGTAGTATGGTTGTTGCATTGATGCTGTTGGGTTTTGCAGTTGAGCTGTTGTAGAACCTGTTGTATCTGGATGGGTAACTCTAGAAGTTGGCTTTGAACTTTT